GAAGTCTTCCGCGACTCGATCTTCTTGTCTTGTAGCAAAACAATCACTGCAACTCTTTATTCGACAGTCATACATTTGTTTAGGGACATAGGCCCCATTTTACCACCGACTCAAGTGTGTTTCCATACGAAGATACACTGAATTTCAACATTATATTACCTAATGTTACAAGTTATAAATCAAATAGAAGAAAGTATCCGAGACAAACTTCTCACCAGGCTAAGACTATCTGATACCACTCAATTAAGTCGGCGTGTATATAAATTTCTCTGCGTTTTATGTGAAACTTAATCCATACGATGCTTTGGTACTAGTCATCTCGATGTACATCTTATAGAATGCTCTAAACAATAAGGTCTATTATAGTCTGACCAAAGTCCGAGACTTGGTCTAATGCATAAAATATAAACGTTCTATTTTATTACGGTTGTAATCGTAATAAATAATCGCCTTTTGTTACGGAAATTGATATTCATGAGCTGTTTCACAAAAAAGTGTTCATAATCTGATAAATCGATTAGCAAACTGTAATCTAAATCGACTTCATTATAATCATCGTAAATAAGATTTAATCCGCCAGTTACAGATTCAACCGTTAGTTTGCAGCTGGCGTTTCGATAGCCGCAATGTAAGACGATTGGTATACATAATTACATTAATATTAATAAAATCTTATATGTACAATAATTTCCGGTACAAAATTGAATTTTGATAAATTTCTTAAATGTTTAGATCGCAATGATTATTTCAAGAATGCCAAATGGTACATTTCACTTTATGAAACTGTTTTTGAACAAAGGCAAAACTTTAAGTGTCTACAACACTAGTGCCTACTCGGTTTCCTCACGATATTTTCCTTTAGCAGTAAGCACTTGATAATTCAGCACTTAAAATTGACAATTTCACCGGTGCTGGCGCCGGGATTTGAAGTTAGATTGCTCGAATACATTGAATTTAAAGCTAGCACCCGGACACTGAGCTATCGCGGCTTGATTAGCAATAACGGGGAGAATAGAAGAGCCGGGGCGTTTCCAATACGTGCCTCGCGACACAAACAGTCAGAATGGAGCTAAGGAAGACGGATGGTTGCTAGTGACGTGCGCATTTAATAATCACGTAAATGGAGGACATACATAAACATTTCGTTGCAACGAAAGCACGGAACGTGATTCTTTTAAGTGAACATCTACAGTACAAAAAGTTTAAAGATTCGTTTCCAACCTTTGGTAGGAAAATGGGCTCTGGTAACCTCAGACGGAACTCATATAGTAACATACTTCACACCGGTCTTCTGTGGGGCTGTGGTACTTTCCCGGACGGACCTGCCCATTCGCGCAACAGCGGAGGCTGCTACAAGGACCCTCCACTATGTTAAAGTCCCGCAGCATCGCGTGCTGTTGTACTGTGTTTTATGCACGTATGTCCATTACACGTAATCAATATTCATATCCGAGTTTCATTATATAAAATGTATATTTACCGAAATGGGAAGTTATTGTGAGCCGAAACCAAATGATATCACTAGCCCACTTCGATAGTCGATTAGTTTTCAAAAATAATCGATTTAGGAACATAATGGAGCTTGGAGCGGATTGACAATTGACTATTTGTGGCAACAATTATCTGGAGACTCCGATAGGCGTTTACGGAATGAAGCACAATTTGGCGCAATTAATGGCGAAAAAGTTGATTTTTAATTTTAAATGTTTCTTGTACACAGTGAATTCTTACAGTGGCTTTTTTATTTAATTGTATATACAACGACACTGCATCTACTGAAATGATAGAATAATATTCTCCCTCTTGAACGAAAAAAAAAATTATGACGACATTTAATACCAGTAAATTGCGCAACCTATTAACACAGATTATTGGTTAATTTTCTTTTGTAACGCTAAAGAAGAATAACTTCTTACTTGCGTACATAACACACTTATTATTCCACGATCCGAATACACACGTTGCGAAACAACTTTGATGCATTAGGGATTTTTTTTATTCGTTGTGGATGGTAAAAGGCAGTCGCAATGTCACAAACAGATACTGGGCCGTAATTATTACGAATGGCTCTTAATTATTGCGATAAGAGCCTCTCGGTATTCAGTTAAGAGGATTAATGTCCATCGCGACATTATTAATAAACGCAATTATGATCAGTTGGGTGTCAACGGACGAAGAAAACCACCACTATTCATAAGTTTAATTTTCCTTGTCCTAAGGTTGTCTGGAAGAGATCGCTCTTTAGCGATAAGACCGCCTTATTGTACCTAGCTTTTAAGATTTATTTTATATCAACTGTATAAAACTTTTTGTGGTGTACAATAAAGTATATATAATAATAATAAGATTACGAAGAACGTGACCGAAAGGCTTAAAGGATGATAAACAAAATGACGGTGCCCCAAGTCAGAACAGGTTTACAATTTTTTTTAAAACAAGCTTTTATCAGATAGTTGTTACTAAAAATAAACTCTTTCATTTCATACCCACTTATTTATATTTATAATATCCACTACATTACGATAACCAAACGAATGTTTTGATTACCATGGCGATCATCCCTGGAAACAAACACCCATATCAGAAACTAATATCTGTTAAAACTAATAACTGCGCCACCGAATCATCAACAATTACTCGCACGTCTGAATTAAAAAACGTACTTTTCAAGCAAAAAAAAAATGTAACAACACACCTCAATAATCGTCACTAATGGTAACCTAGACCGGTGTTGACGGGCTTTAACTATCACAGAAAAGAGATTTCAGTGGTACAGCATTCAGCAGCAATAACAAATCACTCGAACGCAACTGTCGTGTTTCGCTAAAACGTTAGCTACGCTCAATTAGGCATTAGAAAAGTGCATTAAAACGTCCACGTCGAACGTACACGACACGCGATCACGGGCGGGGAGCAAGAATGATTCGCGATTAACATAAAAGCGACATAATGGTCTTGCCAATTGTCACTGCTATATGGGAGAGGCTCGATAGACCGACGTCACTTTCCCCTGCGCCCTGTTTCAGTTTCTAAGGTACGCGTGAGCTCTCTCCCGCGGAATGCTGCCTGTAGGCCCTGCTTCTACGCAACTACAAACTCGAGGTTGTGAGCAGCGAATTTAAAAAGTCTAAATATTAGTTGTCAAACTAACAGATCAATCAGAACGAACGAACCCAAACAGACAAAACGTATCGTACATTATAACGTAATTGTGTACTAATTGCCATGTAATACGTATTTACGCAGACCGTTTGCTTCGCAATTAACTATTCGCTCAAAGCGTACAACGCCAGTCTAGATTTGAGGCGTACGTGAAACCAATTAAGTTTGTATAATACACTGGCGTCTCATAAAGCTGATGGATGGCCAAAACAAACAGTACATATTGTACATATGATCTTTAGTCACGAAATGTTTACATTCTGTATCAACCATTCTTAGGTCAACAACCAGCCCAAACCACAGAGCTTCAGTCTCCAAAAACCAAAACCCAGGGATTCATTTGTCTCCGCAAACCAAAATCAGAACCACAATATCCAAAAAGGATATGAGGTTAAGGTTATTCATCTTTTTAAGTTATGATGTAAAAAAAAATAGTCAATTCATTATTTAAAGCAGACAGTGAAACTATGTTATTGTCTATAAAACTTACATGATTAATTTAACTCCTTAAGTAAAATAAAAAAAAAAATATTTATATAATAATAATTACTTCACACCACTTCATTATTCAAATTAATATATTTTAAAAACATTGTTTTGCAAGTAATAAACAGACTCACAGAAAAATAAAGTGTATGTATATATAATTAAATATATATCTTCTTAAACTGAGCTTGAAAAAATGTAGAAAATAAAATAACTTAAGTGCTACAACCATAAGCAAGATGCTTTTTAAAACGAAATTGAATGTAAATATTAAATTCTTTCCTAACCCTAAGGATATTTCTATAGATGTTACTATATTTTTTTATTTTATAGAAAATTTGATAAAAGACAGGAATGTATACTTTTTATTAGTGACATACAAAGCTACTTTCACCAATTTATTCGAGAAATTAAACATGGGGCATTAAATAACACAGGGAATCTTGGCTAAAGTCCAAACTGTCTGAAATGCATTTGTGATTGTGAATATTTTTTTAATATATACATCTAATATTTATGAATTTTCGATTTGTTTAAAAAAATAAGTTACAAAAAAAGAGCTTTTATTAAGAAATATTTTCCTTCCATTGGATGGAAATTATACTATATTTGGGTGTAATGAATAATTTTATAGCAGTTACAAAAAATGTAAACAATTTTATGGTGGTTATGGTGTACCTTACCACAAGCATTTAAATACAATAATCTATTTGCATAATAATTCATGTAAGTAAACAAAAAAATATGATGGATCCATCATATTATTCTTCATTAATTCTAACAAAACTTTCCTCAATCAAAAAGATTTTAAGGTGAATTATAATTACTTGAGTTTAAATTCAGAAGTGATGGAATAAATATGTTTAAGTGGCCCAAACTAAGAGAACACTTAATTTAAAGTAACCAAACGTTTATCAGTATTTCAAGTTTACATAGGTATCGTGTGGTTAATTGTATGTAATTTATCCAAAATTTACGATGTTATTTTCATATTATTGATTTGCGCAACATTTACAGCAATCGATTTTATTTTTAAATCTTATAAGATTATTATAAGAAAATAATTTAAAAATACTTGTATCCAACTTTAACATTTTAATCAATAGATAAAAAGTGTTGTAAATGACCCAAATCACCTATAAAAACTCATGTCATGTCGTACAATAAATAAGCAACCTTAATTTTAATAGAGCCTAAAACTTACATTTGATAAGTTATCTATAGAACATGATGGCTTTAAAATTTAACAGCAATAGTACTATTTGCCAACACCTCAAACTCTCATCAGGCCGATTGCGCGTGTCGTTAATGTTGCAAATCTAGCGCGTAAATACGTAGAAATATAACTCTACCTTTATGATGAGCTCGATCTCTGGTACGTCTCCGTTGGCTGTCCCATTCTCAGCAATTTCATCCGACATCGTGAACTATAAAACACTCGAATTTACAATGATTTCAACACACTATCACAACCACCACTACTAAATAACAATGACTGACTGACGCATTACCAACTCACTTCAGCTCAAATGTATGTACATGTCTAACTTCACGCAAAAGGAAACGAAAAGAAGAAAAATCTGTCTGATTAAAAATAATTTCATATTTTTTCTTTTATTAAAAATACGAAAATAAATGTTATTCTGTTTTCTTTTTTTGTAATATATTATCAGAGACGCAATGAAATTCATAAAATATTTCATTGAAATGAATTAAAGATCTTTACGTTTGTCCGACTTAAATTGTAAATGAGTTTTATACGTTGACTTACATTTTAAAGAATGGAAACAATTAATATTCAATATTGTACGCAGTTGTTGATAAATCCTTTCCTTTTGTTGATTGTTGGCACAAAGACTGGAATCTACGGGTTTAATGCTCTGACATATCTTACCACCGTAAATAAAAAAATATAAAATTGTGTTTATGGATGTACGGTGTAATTAATGTTCCTAATACGTGCTTAAATAAATGTTGTATTTACATTGCGTTTCTAAATATTAAACAATAATGAGTGGAACTGAAGAACGACAGGGATCGTCATCTGTAAACAAAGAAATGAGTTTTGCAGAGAGGCAGGCGGAACGAATGAAAAGGCTACGTTCTTTGCACACTGCTAGAAACGAAGCTAGAAGTCACAATCATCAAGAAGTCGTCGCTGAAGAAACAAGGAATAAATTACCTCCAAATTATGAAGCCAAACGACGACAGGCTGAATGGTTATTGGAGGATCAGAAAAAACGAGAAGAAGCAGCGCTACAAGGTAAAGAATACGATAGAGTAAAAGTTTTAAACATTTCTGCGATCGAAGCTGAAAGACTTGAGCGTAAAAAGAAGAAAAAGAATCCCGATCAAGGTTTTTCGACGTACGAACAAGCAACAGTTAGGCAGTACAATAGGCTTGTTAAAAATATGCCAGCTGCTGACATGGAACAGTACGAGAAGCAGAAACAAAAGTATGGTGACGCATTTTACGGTGGACCAAATGTCATAATTCACGGAATGCATGAAGATCGCAGGGAAGCAGTGGATAAAATGGTTGATGATTTAGAAGGTCAGATTGCAAAACGGGCAAAATACTCACGCCGTCGTATTCACAACGATGACGCAGACATTGATTATATCAATGAAAGAAATGCTAAATTCAACAAAAAACTCGAAAGGTTCTATGGAGACCATACAGCAGAAATTAAGCAGAATCTGGAAAGAGGCACTGCTATATAGTAAGCTTAATTAAAATATATGATGCAAAATTTTCAAAATGTATTTTGACTGATCCATGTATAACATTCAGTAGTTATATGTTTAATAACTGCTGAACAAAAAGCAAACTTGTATTAATGCTAAGTAAAATAGTGTATACCTGTTATTTATAGATGCACATATTATTTAGGGCACTATAATAAAATAAAAATAAATGGAGTTTGACCTTAAGTTGACTTTAAAAATACTAATATACCTGGTGTTAAAATTATAAGGCAAATTCTTAGTTACATTAAATATCATTTTAATTGTTTTTTTTAGTATTATATATAAAAAGTAAAATACTCTTGACTCTACTTGCCAATAATCATAAAAATAAATACAAATATCAAAAATCCATAATTAAAGAAAATACTTTTCAAACTAATTATATAACAAATTAATAAAATTTGTTACATCCTATACAACCACAACTGACTGACTCATACATTCAGAAACTTTTTCATTTGTTGCCCCAATGTGTTACAAGTCTCTCGATCTAACAGTATGGTTCATCACTTTCTAATACCTTGAACCAATTCATATGCTTTTTCACCTTTACAAATAAACTTTAAGTTTTATATGTTGGGATGTTATAAATTGTTTGTTTTGCAAAATTAAATAACTATGAATAATGATGTTTAAGGAAAGTAAATGTTTAATACAATTTAAAAAGAGTTATCCTCTTTAAGTGTGTTTATTGATGATCGCGTTGCATATTGAAAGATACTTTTAAATATAGAGTAAATGAAACACTTTCTTACTTCTTCAATATAAATGTACTTCTAGTTATGGGATTTGGGTGTAGATTATAGTGGTGATTAAAACAAATAAATTAAACAAATTTCCATAACAAGTTTATTTTGATACATGTGCTGATAAAAATAGTAAGAACATATTGAATATATAGATATTTTGTATTCATATGAAGGTCTAAATAAGCACTAAATGATTTTTTAAGTAAAATACTTACAATATCTGTGCAAGTATATTCCCTGCTGAGATTTGATACACAAACTATCGATAATGCAAGAAACCTTTTTTCATTAAATACTGGAATAGGTAATATTTAAAATTATTAAAAATCAAAGCAGACTAATATTTTTGGATCAATGAGAATATTAGTTTGTACCATTAATTGAGCCAGTTGTGTAAAATTATATAGCTAGACTACTTGCACAGATAGCTTCTAAAATTGATTAAAAGTTTTAGAAGTAGACACCTTATACATTAGTACTTACTCATATATACAGTGAGCATGAGTTGATTTCCTAAAGAAAAATGCTTATTTCGTAATACATGTAAGAACAGAAATGTCGACTAGAAATCACAGTGATCATAATTTCCTAAAATCAATTTTTTTGTAGAAAACTGATGCCTTATATTTTTTCAATCTTAACTTCAATTTGAAAAATAATACATCAAACCTGTTCAGAAAATACCAAAAAAATTGCCTATTATTCTGTTTGCTAACACCAAATATATATTTAGACCACTATTTACACATTTCATTAATGAATTTATAAAAAACAAAATGTTTTAGTACACGGTTTTCATAGCTTTGCAGTAAATTAATAAAATATATGAAGATATATGTATGTATATTTTTATATTGATAGATATTCTATTGGATTTAGACCACCAACGAACGATTATCGCCAAGTTAAATATGAAAAACTTCTAAGCAATGACGATTTATACAGGTGATTTTTTAGACGAAGTACATACTTTGAAAACGTTAATTGAGGAACGCTCATAATTAAAAAAAATATCAATATTTTGTTTTGACAAGAAATAACCAGAAAAATATCAATTCAAGGATTGTTTGTTTATCCCGTTAAGAGAGGTCACCCTACAGTCTGCAGTCATAAGAATATGCATGAAGTTTAAATAACTAAAGGAGGGCCACTGAGATGAGATAATTTCAGACATGGAACTCACATTGACATAGATTCGATAGCAACAAATCAAACAGCGAATAGCAACGGTAAAGTGAGATCAGCGGCTAGGTTATTGTATTGAAACAGTAAGACAGGAATTTCTAATAAGTTGTCCACAATGTTTGAAAAAATTAAAAATAATATTTGAATGAGGTCCAATTATTTACCAGATTCAGATTTAGAATCAAATTTTGCATATGCTCTGTTAATATGTCCGTCGTCTATAAAATCATTCTGTATATAGACCCTACATATGCCAGATCGGTGCACTAAAACTGCTAATGTATACAATTAACATTTAGCAGTAGGCGCAGAAAGACAACATTATTAAAACCGTCATACGCTATCCCTGTAATTACGACATGAATAAAAATTTTGTGTTACACTGTTATAAACTGCATAAATGTACGTGTAAATACGCGCGTACAACATACATAATCATACTTTGTATGATTATATACTTGCGAAGTATATTATCGAAAAAAGTAAATAAAGACCACACTTAACGGCGGTTGAGAAGCAGCACATCCTTGTGCAGGTAAAGTAATTTTTTTTGTCAAGTGGTGGCAAGCAAGCCGGTGGTTCATATGCTGTTAAAAAATTAACATGGACATCTGCACCAGAGGGGTTTTAAATATATTGTCAACCTTTAAAAAAAGTGGGCACCAGTTAACTCACTCACCAGCCGAAAGCGGAAATACATCCACTTTATGCTTGACTCCTGTGACGCCGTATTACTTCCCAGGATGAGCCTTCACATTCGTGCAACAGCAGTATCTGCAGGTTGGCCCTACCAGATAAAGTAGTAAAACAAGGTGTAAATAACATTTGGAGGTATCATTATCATAATTTGCTCCTATTATTTGAACTTAACTGAATGCTGAAAGTCTCCATAAATTATCTGATAATTAATAAACGACTGGAAGTTACGGAAAAATGATGTATTCAAAGCAGAATTAAGAAAGGATAAAACAGTTTAAAAGATATTACATAGGTAGGTATTTTAAAAAGAAAAATATCATCGCCTTTGATAATACACTTGTCAAGTATATAATCAAAGACAATCGCAATAGGCATTTTAGAATGTGTGACAACCATGTTACAATTCTATAATAATCGTATTTAATGAGTGACAAAATTAATCAAATCCCCATAGCATAGCAGCCAGAGGCGTTGACGACCGACGATGGTCTTAAAGGGCCTCGCAATAAATATCTATCATCGAAGTTAAAATAAAAATGGTTTCGGTATCGAGAATTGCCTAGGGCCCCGCCCTAGGCAATTCTCGATACCGATACGCACATTAACAATTGGATTATTTACACCGCCCAATTTTCCGGCGTAAATTTTCGCCTGTTCGTAGAATTGTGTTTATCATCATAGTTTTTAAACGGTTTTATTTAGCTCGACACGTACGGAATTTATTTGTTTAGTTGGGTCAAAATTAGAAATTGAAATTTAAGCACCTTCCCGTTGTCAGATTGATCTGAAATTTGGTACAAACATTTAATTTAGATGACAATACAATATTGTAGTTTTCAGTGCACAAAAAAAAAAAACAGAAAATAAAACCGTTTAACTTAAAAGTTTTTAAACGGTTTTATTATTCAAAATTGAGATAACTTGAAAAAAAATCGAAGCCATTGAAATTCAGATAAATTAAATTAATTAGAAATTTTGCTAATGCGATATGAAAAGAGACACTTTTAGCGAATTTTGCCGACGTCTTCGGCTGTTTTATTGCGCTACTAAATACTGAATAACCATTGATTAAAATTGTCCCTACTTTGTAAAATGACTGTCAATTCTTTATCAGGGTAATAGTTATTACTTAGGATCATCGTATTTGGCTATGTCTGCATATTAGCTTGTAAAGATTTTGCTAATTATCACGTACATTTTATAAAGAATACCTTTAGAATAAATCTGATTAAAAATATTATGACCTATATCAATGTGAAACTAGCATGAAGTGTTGACAATTTGCTATAAAATTAAATATATCATAGAAATCTGTAATGTATTCATGTGAATTGATATTTTAATCCAGTGACAAATGTCAATGCACATTTTATTACACTGACTACATAATTTATTTTTAACATGACGCAGAAATTGCTTGTATGGAAATTAGTGTTGGATTTTATAATTTGAACGTTTCGATTTCTACGTTTGTTGATGGGATCGTGTGCCCATTAAAATATAATTATTCATTTGTTTCCCACATTAAGTTCGGGCACACGCAAGTTTCGATTTGGCCATGAGTTGCAATATAAACAAATACCTGTGTATGGCCTGTGGCTTTTAAACATAATAAAAATTCTGCCTTTACATCTGCCTGATGTACGGCGCACGGGCACCATGCCTTGGATTATATAACTTGGCGGAAAAATAGATAGAATATATGTATAATTTAATAGCCTTGCATTGTTTTTTGTAACCTCTAAGCTAGGTATATTGAATTTTTCGGATCACAGGTAACTGCGTGATATTTCAGACGAAGCTAACAATTTCTGGTATACAGCGTGTAGTTACCATCGCGACAATAAATGAACACACGTCTAACGCTACTTACCAATAATCATAAAAAAACATTAACGTTAAACAAAATCCATAATTAAAAAAAAAAATATTTTTCAAACAAACTAATTAAGTAAAAAAGAAACAAAATTTGTAACACCTATACAACTCGCGCCACATCGTAATAAGAGGCTCTCCTTCTAACAGTATGTTTTGTCTCTTTTAAATTCATTTAACCCATTCGTATGCTTTGTGGCCTTTACAAATGAACTTTACGTTACAGTTTTATAGGTAAGGGTGTTCTAAAATTCTTTGTTTTGGAAAATTTAATAACTCTGTAAATATTGATGTTTAAAGAATGTAAATGTTAAATACAATTTTAAAAAGTTATCCCCTATATGTTTGTTCATTTATTGTCGCGATTGTAAAGACACGCTGTATAAGCACTGACAATATAAATTGAAACTACATGAAATAAGTTCGCTCAAGCTGTACGTAGAGGGAAAATATTGTCCCTTCCGTTTTTTTGTTGAAGAGCTTTACAAATTCAAATCAATCGTAAACATACAGAAAAATTATCTGCCGGTCCTAGAAATTGTTCGGGGAATCCAGCTTGCGCTCCTTACAGAAAGCGCCAACAAGCTGCCATTAATCTCAAATCATTCAATTTTTTGGGCAAAATTTAATGAACGTAGGAACTTTTCGTACACGTATCTCAGTAAATAAAGAACTGAATTAACCAATAACTTGTCTGTAGCATAACAAAAAAAATAGTATATGTACGAAAAGCCTTTTATACTTTGAAAACGACGGAATTCAGTACAATTCACAGACTACTCTGCCTTTCTGACGATTATACAAAGGCTCTACTCATATATTTTTTAATAACTACTATGATATGAATTTAAATTTAATCGTTTGCAGTTAGTTTTTTTTTAAATAATTTCGTATTGGCAGATTATATTTGTATTATGAACTTCAATATAACATTCTTAAATAATTAAGTTTTACATATTTTTATAATTATCATAGTTTCGTGAAACATAAAACATTTTCCGCGATACATAGCATACGAAGTAATCACTATGAGACATAGATATAATTTGATATAATTAAATTAATGTAATTTCCTATCCACCTTAAGTGCAGCAGTTTTAAATGTAAATAACGGGCAGTTATTCGCATTTGGTACAACAGAGCACTCAATGAGAATAGGAAAAAAAGACTGAAGAAAGTGGAAGCAAATTTTTTCACAATATATAATAACAGACTCTAGCTTAGACATTTTCATTGCAAGAACTTTATAGTACATCACACCATCATAGATACAAATGCCATTTTGACACAAATGCCCATTTATCTATACTTTCTCATTATTTTACGCTCGCCATAATGAAATAGTCGCCGCTATCGTCCCGTTTGGAATGTGAACCAGAATTTTATTTTTAACAACAAATCAGACTTTTATATATTCCTAATATAACCAAATGCGAATATCACAGATTCAAAATTCGATATTACTGCCTACTGCACTTAAGATAGTTAAGTGTGACTTAAGAATAAAAATTTCCATCGCGTCTCATAATACCCACGACCGCACAATTTCTGCAAATGAAAGATATCGCTTTGAGATTTGCCAATTGTTTGCCAATCAGCCACAAAATGGGGTTTTCATCGCATTAGTCTATGTTGACATACTTACTGCGCCGACCTGGCATCAGGCGAACGGTTATTCCATCGGGTGCCCGAACTGTATGGAAAATAAAACGCATTTCAGCACTTGTACAGCAAAGTGGGGAAAAAAACAATAGACTCGCAACACAACATTCCACTGACAACATCGTGTTAGATTTATTAATTAGTGTAAAAAGGACTTACCTCGACAAACCAGTCATACCAAGCTTATGCATTGATATACTTAGATAAATTTCAAAAACTAGAAAGGAAACACGGGAATCGAATTTATTGACCAACATTTTATTGCCTAATATACATATATAATCTATCACATTGCTCTTACATTGATATAATTTATTTAATAATAACATATAAACTTATTGTAATAAAAATATACAAGTTGTGTGGACGTCATATATCTACAGCTACCATTGTGTTATTACATCATCGTATTTTAAAATGTGTTTAATGGCATCTAATAACAATATTTAAAAGCAAGTATTGTAGCCAAATTTCTTAACCAGTAAATGTCCAATTTGGTACACCTTTAAAATGGAACCAAACTTGTTTCCGTTTTCTATTTATTTGCACAATTATGGTACAATTTAATTTAATCGAGCTAATTAGCCTCATCATTTACATGTTTGTCTTTAGTGAACTACGGTAAATATAGAATTTTTGAAATTGTAACACTTTATATGTGTAATATAATGGTGTAATTCGTCTTATACATTTTTCTTATCCAATTATTTTTTTTTGATTTAGCTCAGTTCAATCTCCTTTACATTATAAAAAGTTTTATTCCAATTAATAAGTACCGGTCAAGTGTGAGTCGAGCTCGTACGCCAAGGGTTCCGTACCTACCCATTATACCGCCATAATAAAATTGGCAAATAAACACCCCAACCCCCAAAACTTGTAACAAAATTTACCTTCATTTAAATTTTTTGTATTTTTGGAACTATTCTTTTATTTGTGCTTCTTTGGAACTGGTTTTCGACCCCAAACCTATAGAGTACTTCCGGTTGACCTAGAATTGTCAATTTTGTTTAAAAGCATGGTCTTACAGCACAAGTAAAGGTAAATTTTGGTATTTACAACATTCCGCCAAAATGGAAATTTGCCCATATCTTTCTATCGTGTTGATAGAAAGACCTTGGTTTTGATACACCTGACACATGGACATACAGACGGACAAGAGAGTGATCTTATAAGGGTTCCTTTTTTTTTTTCTTTAAGGTACGGAACCCTAAAAGTGGCAATATAGAGCTACAATCAAATGTGTGTCAATCATTATTCTATGGAAAATATAACATAAATTTATTCCAAAGAGAGATTTAATATGATGAATTATGAACTAAGAAATTTAAAATCTTCAGAACATATGCATGTTCAATTTTATTTAAGTATAAATTTAACATTATACATTTATCAACATAGAACATTTAAGTGGAATGATCACAGTTGACTTGAATTTTAATAAGCGATAAAGTAGGTACAATTTTTATTTAAACTTCATCTCAACTTTTTTAGTTTAATTCAAAAGAAATTCAATATTTATTTAATTGGTATTTAGTATAATGAAGGGAGAAAGCTTATTATGATAATTTATAAAAAAAATCCCCAAGAAAAACCAATAAGGTACCTACCAATTTAAGTCAAACTTTAAAAAGTTAAAATTTTACTTCAACGTGCTACTACTACATAAAACTTTTCTTTTTTTGTAAAAATACCAAACATAACACTAATTAAGTCATTATAATAAATTCCTTAAACATTAAATATAATGGAAATATAAAGCTTTTTCAACAGAAATTTCTTTTGCAGGAATTGCATATTCAATGTTTCATGTAAATTTTTAAATACCTTATTAAATTAAATATTGTATTGTAAAATCCAACTCAATAAATATATCATTTCTATAAATAGGTACTTACTTTTATTACTTCCCAATCACAAAAAATATTTCCGTAAAAAATTTGCTAGATAACACACAATACAACATAATTATGTATCTTTTTCTAACGCTATCGCATTGGGCGTATGTCTGATAAGGTAGTTATTATGTAAAATAAATAATCGTTAGTCACGGACTAGTAAAACGGTTGTCTTCTTGTCCGTGTATTTATTTATTTGTTTGCAGAAAAGGCAACCCGATTTAGACAGAAACAAACAGACTATAATAGTGATCATTTGGAACAAAAATAATTGATCTTTTTCTAAAAATTCTAAAAATTATGTAAATAATTATTTGGTAAAAAACATTTCGTTGATTTCTACTAACATTTGTGATGAAGACAATATTTTTTGAAAAAAGTAGGGCTTCCATCTCTGGAGACTGCTACCTTCAGTTTCGGGAAAAATGGGACTTATGGGACTATTCAAATAATTGCTGTTTAAAAGAAGTTATTTTTACACATGAGACATTCAATGGTCATTGGTCACGATTTTGCTTGTATGGGGTGGATGCTCACGTCAGATGGTAAAAGTAACAGCCTATACATGTCCCACTGCTGGGCAAAGGCCTCCTCTATACAGAGGATATCAGGGCATAGTCCACCACGCGGCCCCACTGCGGATTGGCGGACTTCACATATCTTCGAAATATATTTATTTTTTTTTGTTATTATTTCGAAAATATGCTGGTTTCCTCACGATGTTTTCCTTCACCGCGGAGCACGTGATAAGTCAGCACTTAAAGTTAAAAACTTCATTGGTGCCGGCACCGAGGATCGAACTCAGGTTGCTCGAGTATATTGAATTAAAGGCGAGCGCCCGGACACAGCTATCACGGCGGGTGGGGTCATACACAATAAGGTCACACACATATTTCAATAAGGGAATAGTATTTCAATAAGTGATTTAAAATCACGCAATGAAGATGAAAAGAAGTGAGATGTGGCGGTATATATATTAGAAACAGATGATAATTTTGCGAAATAATAAGCCTCTGGTGAAAACTATTCCAGAAAATGTCGAAGTAAAACATTATTGAAGAGGCATTTGAACCTATGTATAAAGAAAAATGTGAAGAACTTCTTAAGATAGAAGAACAACTGCAAAAATTGATATTAAATCCACAAACTGTGTTCACTCAAATCTGGCTGACATTTTCAAAAATAGCAGTGCCAATGAAAAGGAAATGGGAAAACTACAGCATAGTTACAACATCCACCTTACTATAATATGGAAATCCTTGACTAATGAAAATAATAAAGGAAATTGACTCGCAAACCAACATAATCCTTTATTGTGGTGGAGCTATAGCATCAAGTGCATATAAAGGTATTGCAACCATCATTCACACTAACCTATAGCCGTCAAACTCAGCAGTACCAAGTGCACAATTATTCAGTAGAACAGGTTTAATATATAAACCCCTAAGAAATGGATTGGACGGTGACAAATCTGTTGTTTGAGAAATATAATTTGGGTCTCCTTTTTTAAGAAAAGAAGAGACTTACACTTGTGCTACTGGCCCATTTAGAATAAAGACTATTTGACTTTTTTAGTAAATCCTGAATTAATGTTTGTTTCACTTCCACAGCTCTTTGTCTCCACATCCGCTTAGAAGGCCTCCATTACAACCATAATACAGATATATAATTTAAGAACATTGAGGAGCTCATAAGTTTAAAGACAAAAAAGCAGCCAGTACAAGAGCTGAATAATTTGTTAACACTCCATGTCTTGCACATAACCTTGCAAGTAGAAAAAGCTCTCTAAGGAAACACTTAAACCATTGCTATAACTATCAAATAGCTATCCTACTAGTGCAGAATCATCCAATAATAGTAGAAGTTGTATAGATCCTCTCTGTCTAAAATTAAGTACTCTTTGCTTTTTATACATAATAATTAGTATTCTTTGTATTTGAATTTGTACCAGTATGATTAAACTTTATAGAAATATCTTGTACTGATTGCTGAGCCAATGAGTATGAAACCAATTTTGGAAATACTCTTGAGTGAAATTTTCCCGGAACATCGAGATTAGTCCGAGTCTCGATTCTTTTTCCATGTCTCGTAAATATAGCGAGAATGCAAAGCCCTACTAAAAAAACATATGTAAGACTTAGACATTATTAAGAGTATGGCCAAGTGTGAATATTTTCACTTTAATATATATTTGAAATGACAACAACTTTTGAAAATTAGTAGTTGTGTATGTGTTATACAATACATTGGCTCATTTATGCACTGGTGTGCATGAAAATAGTTTCATTTAGTTTAATGGATTTTTATATATGCCTTATTCATATAAAATAGTTAATTTATTGTGATATGAGCAATAAAGAAATGTTTGAGCAAAGATAAAAATAATTCCAAAGAAAAGATTTCATATGTATAATTAATAAAACTTTTTTGGCAAGGCGCGATAGTCTTATTTTTGAGATCTTGTGATGCCTCATAGTTTGAACAGTCCAAATGTGATGTATATATTCAACAACCTATAAATATTTTGCCGATTAATAAATATATAACTTAGACAATAATATAAACTAGTAATTTCAATATTAATTAGAGACCTAAAATGGTAAATATAAACACAATTTAATCTCGAACGCTGTATAACCCCTATATACATATTAAAAATTCGTGATTCCCTAATACTATAATACAAAAACTACAATAGCACAAGTAGCTTTAAATTTTTTTTTACTTAATATAAGGCACCTTATAGGCCAGTACTGATTAATATAATTTTTCTAACCTTTACACAATAAAACTTTTTCTTTAAATGTGATAAGCATCACATTACAACCTTATGCATTAGCCAATAATAATTGCTTAAATAATAAACGTATTATTTTAGTGCTTCAATTTTACAGGCAATTTATGATTTTGAGGCATTACTTGGTCATCGTAATGTAATACATTTACATATAGAACATTATATATTGATCAATTTATAAAAACTATATGAACAAGTATATGCACATAAGCTTAGCCTAAATGGTTAAATCAGTCATTTATAGAAGAGGACACACATGCGAAGAATTCTGAAACAACATTAATAAAAACAGGAACAACTGTAAGAAACGACAAACAATGCAAAACAAACTTTATCATTAATAAATCGTATGAGCATGCTACCAAAAACATGCTGGGGTTAAATATTTTCTAAAACCACAACACAACACTGTTCTGTCATCTTCAAGTGTTCAAAACGCAATTAGGAATGCTTAACACCCGAGCGCACTGAATTTAGCACAATAGGCACTGTTTAAGGCAAATCTGAAGGAACTTGTCAAAGTCAAAACATTCTTTTATTCTACGGGATTTGCGGAAGGCTCTGCGAGCGTAATCCCTGAGCCACACTAGGGAAAGACGAGTTTATAACACAGGGCACCTCATTCACGTCAGTTGTTTCAAGGGAGGTGCCTCGAGCAACTCCCCTTCGGTACTTATCTCTGAAAGAACCGAAGCCAGAGTCGTGGTTCCTGGATGGGGACGTACCTACAAGTATGCGGGGCATCTCGCACTCCTCACATTTGGTCAGCAGCTCGTGATTACGAAAAGTGCACATATGGCACTGCCACATTGCACTAGGCCGCTGTCCTGTATAAATGTTCCTGTAGAAGCTGTCTGAATCATCTGGCTCTGAAAGGGTTTTTAATCAAATGATTTAAACCTTCATCAAAGTCTAAAAATCGTCTCTAAGATATGCAAAAGCATGTAGAATGTTCTATAAAAGTAAAGTAACAGCCTGTACATGTCCCACTGCTGGGCAAAGGCCTCCACTGTACAGAGGGTATCAGGGCATAGACCACCACGCGGCCCCACTGCGGATTGGCGGACTTCATATATCATCGAAATATTTTTTTTTGTTATTATTTCGAAAATATGCATGTTTCCTCACGATGTTTTCCTTCACCGCTTAGCACGTGATAAGTCAGCACTTGAAATTAAAAATTTCATTGGTGCCGGCACCGGGGATGGAACTCAGGTTGCTCGAGTATATTGAATTAAAGGCGAGCGCCCGGACACTGAGCTATCACGGCTCTTTCTATGTTCTATAACAACTTGGTAACTTATTTGGAAAACTTTTAGCAAGCATTTTCTTACAAACATAGTATGTGAGCATTGTGGGTCAATTAAGTATAAACTATACAGAATTTGTTACCTTACTAGCGGGCTGGCGGTTCACCTCATGATAAGTGATTACTGCAACCCAAGGACAATGGTAATAGCTGACAGGTAGCAGAGGCATTATCAACCATTAAAAATTGGCCCCGATACCTCCCGCCGTGATTACCAACCCACCATACGAAACGCGAAAGTATAACCTTCCATTTCACGCCTGTATTCTAAGGCTGCAGTACTTACCCAGACGAGTCTGCCCATTTATACAACAGTGAAAACAGCTGTGTGGCCCTACCACAAGTAAGAGGTGAAGGAAAGGTTGTAAGGGATATATTATGCTACATACAGAGATAACAAACATTTCTATTGATTGTTATCAAATGGAGTTTCCAATTTCTACTAATAATTTATTACAATGTTATGTACCCATATTAATCATATATACCTATATACAGGCTTTGGTAGTTATTTCCAGCTCATTGTAACTGCTACAATATATTATTTTACAAATATTTTACAAACACTAAAGTATTAACATAAAAACTTCGTAGCACAGATTTTATTGAAAATGCAAAGCCGTATATTTAAAAAAACGTTCTTACCATTATTGGCCATTTCAAGTCTTTTAGACAGAGTGTTACACTCATCTCGTAATCGCTCAACATATTTCTTGAGCCGTTGAGTTGTAGTGGGCGATGGTGGCGGAGCAGCTAATATCTGAGTTTCCCGGTTAAGTTGGGCAACTCTGCTCTTTTCTTGGGCTAAAGCTGTTGCAAGCCTAGAGAGCCGCTCTTTTTGCCGTTCTATAAGTGAATGATCTGGAAGTTATACATTTTGCGAAATATTTTTATGCATGTTTATAAAAACATATCAAGAGTTATAATTCTAATGAAATCAAATTAAAGCATTATACTGGGCTTTGCATTGCTGTTTCATGATAAATAAGCTTCAATTAAAATTAAAAGCAGTTTGTATGATGTTATTCTTACTATTTATTCAAAAGCTACCCTGAATTTGATTACCATTGTACCTATTGGTGGAAGATAAATTTTATTTTGAAAATATATTTAATTTTATTATATTCTATACTGCATGATGTAGTATATACATGATTTAGTAAGCAAATGGTTAAATTTGAAATATGTAAACATTTTAAACCTTCCTGTATATTAAAGGAAGGGGCAATCAGTGCTTTACAATATAATGATTTTTATACTTCAATTTAATGTAGTGGATATAAATAAATATAAAATAACTAATATATGTAAGATATAAATTAATAAGTATTGTGAAGTCTTATTTTTGGAATAAGCTTTTCATGCTTCATATACATATACTTCAAATTATTAAATCTTTCATGAGACAATAAAAAAAAAAAATTATTATAAAATATTCTTCCCACAGACCGTGAACTCATCCCACTCATCATGTTCATCAGTGTAGTTCAGCAGTTTAATTTTTTCGCTAGGAAAAAACTGTTTAACGGAGTGTCCTATTATATTTCAGATAAATTAATGAATCATTATAATGACAATAAAATTAAAAAGAAGTCACATACCAACATTAATGTGGTTAGATCCACTAGGTGGCTCAGGCGCTACTCTTGAAGGTCTGGGTGATTCCAGCTTTGTCGGTGGTGGTTGGGGGGTTGGAGGTGGCGGTGGTGCTCTTCGCCGTGGCGGTCGAGCTGTGCTTGGGCTAACGGTTACTGTCACATGCCCCTCAAAGCCACCATCATCCTCCCTCATTTCCCTAACTGGACTGGCCATGTTCGAAGTTGGCGTACAAACAGTCAAATTTACTGACGTAATAGCTCTTGGGCTATCATAATTCTCCATCCATGGATCAACATAAGAATGGCTTAAGTCCATATGGCAATTCACATTTACAGATAAATTTAATGGGTAACCGCATTCCCTCCTGTATGTTCCAGGCTTCTCTTTAGATTGCTGAGTGCCCTTTTGCGTTGAGGTGGCCGGTGAAACTGACCTACAAGGATCTGGATCTGCCTCTTCTAATGTCTCTTTAAATGCAAAATCTGAATTCGGTTTAACAAAGTCAAGTGTATTCGGTCGTTTTGGTTTATCTTCTATTGATTTTGAAATTTGAGTTTCTTTTTTAATGGTCTTCTTCTCTTTTCCCTTCTCCAATCTTTCATTTAAGTTGCATTTTATCTTGTTACTTTTCAATATTCTGTAATTTGTGCTTTCAGGTTGATTTATATCAGAGCCATTACTAGCCTTTCTATTATTAGCATCCTCCTTTTCATAATCCCTATTTATTTCTTTTTTATCATTACTTAGCTCTGGATCACTAGGCGACTCGGCACTATATTTAGCATAACAATTATCAATATTTATAATTGTTATTGGTGAAGCAGTTTTATCAGATTCCTTTTCATTATTAACATCAACCACATTTTGATTAGCATCAGTACTCACTTTTTTGTTCTCATTCTCTGCAGCTGTAATATTAGAGCTCACAATAGCTTTTTGTGGACCTTGGCAAGTTACAGACTTTACCACCGATGATTTCACTACCTCATGCTTTGTGATGGGCTGATTACGACACTTTATGGGTGCATTTACTTTGAGCTCATTGAGCTGTCGGGCGGCGGCCGACGAAGAGGCATGATAAGCGTGCGTTAGGGAGGCCTTGACTTCGCTGTGAAGATGAGTCTCACAGGCTTGTTTATCATGGCAGTACAGCTCAATAGTGTTGGACACAACATGGTCAGGGACACCAGGGAATTTTTGTTTCAGCTCATGGAACAATTGCATAAGCGATATGTTAGTACATGCACAAGGTGAGGGACTCGCAGCGTTTCCGGAGGGGGCAGACATCGCCGCCCATCCTCGCGGGGGCCAACCTCTCCGCCACGAACTCTGCCCTCACCACAAGTTTATTTAAACTAACGCTCACCGGTGTAGACCAAAAAACATTGTACAGGGTTAATGTAATTTATTGTCTTTCGTTCGTGACGTCACAATCCTTAAAATCACTTTCCCGCAGTTACGTATACATACTTCAATACGTATTCACACGTTTCATGACTTGTTAATCCTAACTGCACACATGTAATGAAAAATAACACATAACGAGACTACGCTTGATTTTTATATCTTTTGTTATCATCTTTCGAAAGCTATTTTTTAACTTGTTGTAACTCACTTTAATGGACTTTCATAATTATATTACACAAATTCGTAAGATTTTCCCGTCTCTCATAAAGCAACATACTTTTAACTACAAAGGTATTAAACAATACTGCATCCAAAAATAAAATTACGAAAATCGCATACTTGTCAACCCGATTCTTCCATTTTAGCTATAGACAAGTTTATTTTGTTTTTGAACCTTTCAATGTCGCTATAATTTTTTTTATTGTATTATTAAGTTTTATGAAGGTTTCACTTGCAATAATATGAAAGAAAGCTATACAAAAATATAACTTTGTATTAAAAATAATAACGTATTTTAATTTTATATAATATCTCTGATATGGGACGAGGACGAGATTGCTTTCCCGAACAGAAAACACCACCAGATAGAAATTCATCGTTGAACATTATTTTAATTTTAAAAGTTTTTTGTAAACTTAAATTTTCTTTTTTTGGATTTAAATGTTAGGGTCTAAGAATAAAAGTACCTACCTTTTTTATGTTTAACAGCTCTGGAGTCGCAATGTAGGCCTGAATAGAGAAAACACATTGCCATGTGCTTTTGGCTTTAAGGTTTTGTTACCAGGCCATAAAAATCTTTATAAAAAGTAGTACAATGTCACTGTCAAAACTCTGTCAATGTCAGGTAATGTCATCTTGGTTTATATTCTCTTTGATTCTGGTGTTTTCTTTTGTTATTTTAAATTATTGTATTTACAATAACAGTTATTGAATAACTATAAACAAAACTACAGGACTCAGGACTCGCAATATTATCCTAAAATGGTTGACGATTTAAGGAAATATCTCAATCATTTATTAGAAAAGTGCGTAGCCTATTGAATGTGACATTGTTATACTTAATAAATTTGAAAATTTATAGTTCTTTCCATTCTTCCCAGGGTGAATGGTCTTCATTGCATTTTAATTACGGATCGAGACGGTGTACCAGTGGTGCGTGCGGTAACGGAAAGAGCACCGCAATTGGCTCTTAGACCTAACTTTATATCTACATTTGGCATGGCTACAGATCAAGCAAGTAAACTAGGTCTAGGTAGAAATAAAACGATAATTTCCATGTATTCCAGTTATCAGGTAAAATTGTACATTTCTTGTCTTTTAGCACAAAATATTTAACTTTCATAATTATATTGTTATTGCGTCAAAGCATTACTCATATTCCAAACAATATGCTATAAGCATATTTTTTTTGACAGAATAATACAAAATGAATGCGGAAAATGTTAAGTTTTCTGGTAATTTTATTTGGCAAAGAAAGATCACTAATGAAATAATCAACAAGCAGAATTAAGCGGTCACTTTATAGTTTTCAAGAAAAAAAATTATAACTTAATATTTTCACTGAAGAAATCTGCCATTTTAATAATTTGATTGTTTTTTAAATATTTAGTCTTCATTTGTTCTTTATAGGTAATTCAGATGAATAAACTTCCCCTGATTATCACATTCATTGGTAGTGACAACTGCAACACTGGCCACATATTGTCTCTGGAGAGTCAAATAGAGCCATTTTTAAAAGACTTGGCAGCTGTGGTTGCAGACGCCCCTTAGGAATCATGGAAAAACCTTATTTTATAAATAATAGTCATACAATATATTTTATAATTATAATAACATGAAAAAGGTTTAGAAAACTAAATGAAAAAAGTTTAATAAACATGAAAAAGGTATTGTTAACATTTTGTTGTTATCAAAAATATATACTGTGTCAGTTTTTAAGGTTTAAATGGCTGATTAAAGCTGATAAGTTCAGTACATTCACATATGGAAACAACAATTGATTCAAGTTTTTAACACAGTTCCTTTTGTATCCTTATAATTGGTCATATTTTATACAGAATAGGCATAACTCTGAGATATATAAATTTCATCTGACACATCATTTGTACTACATCTTACAATATGAACAATATTCTCTACACCCTTTTGTATTTATTCTCAAGTGTAAATATTATCTTATATTCAAATATAATTGTTTTAATAATTTTCTATGAATGCTTTTATTTGTCTTATTAAAATGTATCAAAAGATATATGCAAGCCCCTTATCGCTTTATAATTCTACAACAGTGTGAGATGATTGAAACATGGTAATTTAGTAACATTAAAATGAATTCATTTATTCTGTTATAAGTAACTGTACTCAAAATAACAATGTATTTAAAATTATTTGTAAATGCTACTCAAACGGTATTCAATAATAGTACAGAAAAATGAATGAATATGCATTATTTATTATTATTGTAAGACTGGTGTTAGTAATGGCTTTCCATAAAGTGCATTAACGACGTTTTTCGCTGTAAGGACGGCCATAGAGTTGCGGGTTGCTATCGTAGCACTGCCAATGTGCGGGAGTATGACTGAAAAAAATGTTGCAATTAGGATTTTTTCTTTCTACCTATACAAAATAATTTGTCATTAGGTATAGGCAACTTGTGATCCCGCGTCAATCCACAAAATAATTAGAAATGAAAGTAATTTATAAATATTAAATGAAAGTAATTTATAAATATTTTTAATAATAAGTACGAACTGAAATTAGCTATTTTACATTAGGTAACATAGTTTATGGAAGGTTATAAAACAAAAATTGTTAAAAAATATTTACAAATATTGGGAAGCGTGAGTAGCTTATGATCCTTGGGTAGAGGTTCTGGCGACGTCACGTCAAGTCCCGCTGCATATATATCTCTATTATTCAGCGCGTCATACAAATCATCTTGGTTGACTAGTTCTGAAAGACAACAGATTTTTAGAACTTATAACGTGTTTATATTTTAAAGTACAAATTGAAATGAGCTCATACAATTATAAATAAGGCATTCGTAATCCTTATCGATAGCTTCCCTAATTCAATAAATAATATCTTTTTAATTTCATGTGCCAGTTTGTCTAACATATAAAAAGTGATTTTCGCGAAATTAACAGCATACGTGTTTGAAATTTTTGGGAAATTGATAAATTACGATTACGAAATACAGATTAAAGTATAAAAGTATCAGCATATACATGTCCCACTGCTGGGCAAAGGCCTCGTCTGTACAGAGGGTATCAGGTATAGGCGACCACGCGGCCCCACTGCGGATTGGCGGACTTCACATATCTTCGAAATATTGTTTCATTTTATTATATGGAAAATATGCAGGTTTCCTCACGATGTTTTCCTTCACCGCTGAACACGTGATTATCAGCACTTAAAGTTGAAAATTTTATAGGTGCTGGCACCGGGAATCGAACTCAGGTATATTAAATTAAAGGCGAGCGCTCGGACACTGAGCTATCACGGCTCAAAATACAGATTAAAACATTTAAAATAAGAAAAGCAAGCGTCGATTAAAAAAAAAGCAGTAGGGCCACGCAACATCCTTCGCTGTTTCACGAATGGGCAGGGCCGTCCGGGTAAGTACCACAACCTCGCAGAAGACGGGTGAAGTGGAAGTGTAAAACTTCTGCGTTTCGTTTGGTGAGTGAAGTAGCCGGCGCGACGCATCTGCTACCCTACGGTCGTTACAAATGTCAACGGGCGGTGATTATCGCTTAACATCAGGTGAACCGTCAGCTCGCTCGCCACCTTCTCACATAAAAATGTTTCTTTACCTCCTCGGCCAACGTTGATAAGTATGGCGTTCCTCTTCATTTTACCAAGCGTGGTCTTGTTGATCATATGTTTGGTCTCGTCGGTCAGTGGCACAGCCAGTACGACGAAATCGCTCCGAGTCAGCAAGCTGTCCAGGTCCACGAATTTGGCGCCCAGCTCTTTGGCTGCGTAAAGAGAAATGATGTAAAACTGCTAACGGATTTTAGATCTGATCGCAGCTGCATATGACAACGTGGCACGTTCAAGAAGTCGAAAGGCGGCACTGATGAAGAAAAAGCCATTACAATTGACACAAGGTCAAAGCTGTTACGGAAATAATTCCGATTACATTGTCACTAGTTGACCCGTGCGAAATTTTCGCACACTACCGTGATTAGTGACTGAATAAAATAAACAATGTGCAAATAAATGTTTTTATTGCAGAGTAAAGGTAAAATAATTCATTTACTCATATTGTCAACAGATGGCATTATCATACATTCTTTATAAGAAGTTTTTAAACAACAGTGTTCTATGGAAAAAACTTTTTTCTATTTGCCTTTCTTCAATATACAAACATACTATTTTAAAATATTGTTTTAATAATTAAATTTGATTCGGAGTTTCGGATGTTTGGCATTCCGACAAAAGAGAACACCATTTACAAATTATAATCATACAGAATCCTCCTTTTCTAAGTGTATCCATTTTTTAAATTAAATTCTAGGCATAAATGTTATATAAAAATGATAAATATCTTAAATCACTCGTAAGTAATTAATTACATTCATTTGAATTACTTATCTCAAAAAGTGCGTGATTTATACGCAACTATAACTAATACGCACACAAGTTCGTTTGTGTGCGAGAACAATAAAATTTAGGTATTTATGAATGACCACCGGGTTGTCAACAAGTTTTGTTTGAATGTAAGAATAATTATTAGAATAATAATAGAATGATATATTTTTTGACAAAAATGTTTGTTTTTATTTCAATAAACGATTAAACTACCGAGTCAGAATCTCCTGTGTAAATTTGGGCACCTTTAAAAAAGCCTCCCTGTATACATACTGAGATAATATCGCTTGAGCCCCTACCTTCCGGTTTCTCCCGGTGGCCGGTGTAAAGGAATTGGCCAACTTCAAAGCCACTCAGACGTTTGACCACAGTCTGGCCGATTCCACCGAGACCGACAATGCCGACTGTGCTGTCCTTTATGTCTTGCCCAAGTACTTTGTCGAAGCCAATTTCCCACTCCCCGCTGGAAAAGACGAAATCTGTTAAAAAATTGTGACTTCCGATCTTCAGTTTTAACGATTTCTAATTGTCTCAACGTTCACTTTCATTTAACAAAAGTAATTTGTAATAAATTTGTGACGAATTGATAATTCCTGACGTAAATTTGTGTTTAAATACACCATTATATAAAATTCAAAAGAATGGAATAATACGATTAGTCATATATTATGTGAGCACATCAGGTTGACAGATTTGAAAGAAGTATTTTTAAAATTTTATTGATTTTTAAATGACAATTAACTGTATTACTTTAAGAATCTCGCCAAAAGGCATCATAGTGTGCGCATATGGAGATATCTTTATCAACACACCTTATCACATCAACAGTTATGTCAGCTGTCTGTTTATTTTTATCGATTATATAAGTCACACTACTCTGTCGACGGCTTTATCTAAAGTGCCTGCCTTTCGTTTTATAGAATAAAATTCGTATAAATATATAAATTTAAAAGAACACAAAATTTACTTAACAATTAAATTAATTCTGTATCAGTTGCATTGTAAAAAGCGACTTTAAAAAGCGTTTTTCGCGAGTCGTTTATTAGACTAGACGGACTACTAGATTTGCCACGTCTTCTCGGGAACTCAATATAAATTTAATATACATTACAAAAATTATATTTTTTTTGTCAATACAAATTAACATTAAGATAAAAGAAACAAATAGTTTTGTAATACCGATATAAAATGTTATTTACGTTTTCACTTTAAAAAGTCGCTAAAGACGTCGATTAACTTCAACATAAGATGCTCTTCAAAATTTCAAACCCAGAAAGGTTTGCATGGAGTAAACCTGAACCCTCGCATAGGATATCTTATTTGTCAACCTGAGAGACCTCTGACCGGTACACTCATAAGTATAGAATACTAGCTTCTGCCCGCGAATACGTCTGCGTAGAATAGGCTGAAGGCGTAACATTCAGACAGAAAGACAGATATACATAAAATATGTACATAAATTATACCCTTTGTCTTATTCTGATGTATAAGCTATATCATTGTAAAGTTGCATTAAAATCCATTCAGTAGTATTTGCTTGAAAGAGTAACAAACATCCATCCATCCATACAAACTTTCTGCTTTATAATATTTGTAAGGATCTTCAATAACAATATCTTCACAGTAACAGTCGTACCTGCGCACTTGCTCCAGGTTTTCGGTGAATCTCCTGGCAGCACCTAGCATGAGGGCCACAGCGATATCGGCCACTGCACCGCTCAGAACATTGGGCGTGTTAGTCAGTTTGATACCGCGTCTCTTCAGCTCTGGTACGTTGCAGTGGTTGTAGCCAGCTGACGCGGTACTCACTATCTTCAGCTGCGGACCTGGAGGCCGAAAGTTTCTGAATACGCGTGTTCTTAATTGTTTGTTACTTTGTGCTAATTATTTAATTCGATTTCATATGAATGCTTTTTTAGTCTTTTCTATCTTTGTTATTATTCTTATACTTAACTCATTTCAAAACTATTTATTTAATATATTTATTTAATAAAAAAAATTACAAATATAATAAAAAATATTAACTTTGAAAAAGTTAGCTTCGTGAAGATGATCTAAACATAATTGTATTATATGATAAACATAAACATAATTGTATTAATAAATCGTATAATTGTATTATACGATTTATTAATGCACTCATGTTTGCAATCAATGTAAGTGAATTTTTTGTGTGAATGTAGTTGGCCATTTTGAAGCTGTTATGCGACCAATTGACAGTGGAAAATCGTTTAGTCGTAACGGAAAATATTTCAAGGCGAGCGAGACTTCAGACTATGTGGTACTTACAGTTAAAACAAAAGAATACGAAGAAACAGAAATATTCAATGACGAATCTGTGTCACATATACTTGACAAAGGCATACGCAAAACCTCTGTTATGGTAATCACCCTAGACATTTTGCGCATGTCTTTGTTAACTCTTGTTAAAGATATCGTAGACAAATATTTCCCGTAAATTAATCTCCAGAAATCTCATCTGTATTCGTTCGCTTCTAAGTATAAGTAAAATAGATTTAAATAAGATTTTATTTTAAATTTAAACCGGACGCCAATTTTGTGTCAGTGTATCTGGCAAAAAGACTATAAAGCCGTTGCTGGAAACGTTGGAAAAGCATCTTATTGACATTGAGATTATCCAACGACATTATTAATTTATTATTATTAATATAATACTTAAATTATTATTAAGTACGTTTTTACCAGCTCTATCCAGAAGCTCCTTCGTTATCGGGTGGTGAGAAACCCATATGAGCGCAGAGCAACCTGGTATGAGTTCAAACAGTTCATCACGGTTCTTCGTCGCACCTTCCTCGCCGAAGTTGAGGTATCGGGACTTCAATACTGTAAAACTGAAATTGGAAAAAATATATTGGGGCAATTAAAATATGTAGAAATTATACATATTTTAATGTTCAATCTTAAGTGCAGAGATTAGCACTATAAAAAATAAAATTTCTTAAATTTCTATATTGGGGCAAATTGGGTCATGGCTTAAAACAAGTATGTTGATGTATAAAAAAATGTTTGTAGGTATATCTTTTATTACATAACTGCAAAACTGAAGAAGCCATGTTTTCAATGTGCGTAAGTGTAATGTGTAATGATTGATACTAAATTGAAATTTGTAGAAAAAGTACGAAAAGATTTTCGCCGCTGTGGGAATTGAACCCACGTCTTCGACATTCGCGGCATGGCGCTTTAGCTACTAAGCCAATCGGCTGATTGCCACATCGACGAAAATCTTAACGGCTTTTATTTACATTGCTTTTAGCATTTGAAGCAATGCTTGGCGTATCCATTGTTATACCATTTCCAGCATACAAACAATTTCGAATATCGTTTTACAACGATAATTCGAACGAGAGATCTCGCACTTGCTTTTTAGAAATAAAAAAAAATTATAGTAATAATTGATACTTAAAAAAAATTAAAAGTTAGGCCAGGCCCAAGGTAAGACTACGCGATATTCTTCACTTGCGTGGCCCTAAATGGTCAGGTCCGTCCGGGGATGTACTACGACTTCACAGAAAACCGGCGTGAAGTGGAATTGTTACACTTCTGGGTTTTGTCTGGTTTTGTTTTGTTTTTTTTCTTTATTAAAATGTGGGAAAGCATCTACAACCCTACGGGTGTTGCAAATGTCCATGGGCAACGGTTATTACTGATCACAGATAAATCGCCAGTTTGCCTGCCACCTTGTCACATAAAAAAATGTCAACAACCATTACGTATGGATACATAAATGTAAGAAAATTAATGGACCCTTCATGTGAATTAGGGTGCTTTTTCAATAATGAGTAAAATATCAAATATATGGTGAAAAAATTAAAATTACAGTGTGTTTGGGACATGGAAAATATTTTTTTTGTAAAAGTTAAAAATAATAAATATAAAAACTTGGTTATTTGAATTTTTCACATAAATTTATGTTATGTAAAAAAAGTGTTACAATAGTTGTAGATCTTTTTATTACCTACAACTTTGCCATTTAACTTTTTTCAATCGGAGTTGTAGTTTTGCCAGAAATCGAGATAAACCGTTTTTACCCTTAAAAACTCACCCCCTTCCATTTCCCGACCTCAGATCGCCCGTTAATTATTTTTCCTTTCATTATTGTTATATTCTCTTACTTTTGCAATGCGTTTCATCCTAGTATTTTTTTAGTATTAAAAATTATAGACCCTGGTCTACATATCTTGTCTATTTGTATACTTGTTTTAATCTGTGCACCCTGCCATTTTACATCTGCGCACAGCACAACAAAAAGTTGAAATTTCTATTAGCTGTGTATTTAAGAAACGTAGAATTTGTATTCCTTTAATACGGAAGAAGTTTATAACCTTAAATAAACTCCACATAACATATGTGCATTTTAATAACGTTTTTTTTATCACTAACTGCTTCGGGTAAAATTGTAATGACTGTTAGTTACTTAAAAAATGACGTACTTAGTTTGAACAAGATAAAGAAAAATATTATACATACTGTTCTTCTAAAATTTTCATTCCACTTTCGGGGAAATCGTTTGAAGAAACCAGAACCTTAAGCGATTTTGTCATGTTGTTTAACGCGACGTCCACCGACAGTGCTCTATGAAAGACTGACGCGATAAATACACCATAAAGTATTTTATGAACCATTGTTTTATCATATGTACAAATCGTTTTGATAGCGAAAGTTATCTTTTAAACGATTGATATGCGCGCCACCGGACTGGACAAGGCCGGGTTTATAACTGACCGATGACCAGAAACCAGAAAGAGCAAATAGGAATAAGATGGTAGGTATTTATAAACAATCTTGTTAGATTGCGTTCACTTTTCACAGCTCACTACAAGTAACGTATAACGTAAGTTGTTAATGGGAGGTATAATTATGATACACTATTAAGACAGGTTAATTGTCGCAAAAAATCTTATTGAAATATGCATAGAACAGGCAAATAGCCATTGAATACATTTTCAATTAAATTAAATTTAATGTTTGTGTCAAATTAAATTTTTGTCAACTTAATTGTAGTGTTTTTTATCTATCGTTAAGATGATTTTGTTTTATTTCACGTTGCGTCATCCGCTTGGTAATTTTTTGCTACAATGTTTCCTAATGTCTTATCTAAAACATTTATCTATATCCCTCTTCTTAAGTTTTCATGTAAACTAAAAATTACGTTCTTTTTTCGTGGTAACTGCTTTCAAACTTTCAATGTTATCTGTACATATTTACATAAAATTTTGTAGTTTATAGTGCTTCGGAAAGAGAAACCTCTTATTGAGTTATGATGAGTAATATGACTCTTCAAGACCTTTATTATCAACTATTTGATGCTTCTACTAAGCAAGAAAGTATGGAAACGAAGTTGGTGACTGTAGGAAGTAGTTAGTTATAATATAATATAATTTCATTATACTTAATAAAATATATTTTATTTAACCAAAAACTAAAGATGTGTACGTATCTCTGTGCTATAAATAGTTGAACGAAACAATTACTTATGTTTTTTTATTTTCTCACGAAATTAAACTTGCATAGGCTGGGAACTTCTGATAACCAACCTAGTCGCTGGCGGACGAATATACCATTACGATAATATTACATAACAGCGGCTAATGAAACCACCGTATAATACCGCACCACATCGCAAAGAATATCTACTTGCTCTAGGAGAACCATCTTTATCTGTGTCGGTAGGAACTGTTTCTAAAATTGTTTATTTTATTCTTAAAATAATTTGAAAAGTGGTTAGGTAAAGCGACAATATACTCGTACATAATAATACTATTTTATGTATTGAATATATAAATTTTTGATTTAAACCTCAAACATTTTTGGCCTTTTATTCTTGAATTTCAATGCTATTAATCTCAGAAGATACATTAGTGAAGAAAGATATCGTTTTAAGATATTGGATGTTTCATCGGTTTTCCCTCTAAAGCTTGAAGTATATTGTTGGCTGCCATCGTAGCCATTGCATTTCGTGTGGCAATAGTCGCACTGCCCAAGTGCGGCACAATGACTGAAATAAAAAAAAACATTTATCTATGTCTATTAAAAAAAATGGAGGCGGAAGGCCTATGTTTAACGATGGACTCGAACGGGCAATGTGATGATTGCGAAATGATGATTAAAAAAATATTCATTTAGAAAAAATATTTCCTATGAATGCTGTAAATATAATCTGCAACTTTTACGGACTGGATGAAAATTATTTATTACTTTCTTACAATATGGACTCATAGTATCAACATGTCTTGACAATTTTAATAAAATCGAGTTATATTAGTGAAAATTAGTAATACTTCTTCAAATACACAATGATGTACCATCATTTAATTTTGTTATTACGATTTGCTCCCTGGATGTACTTACAGCAATTGGGTAGCATCAAAAGAGGATGGTCATTTGGCAACGGTTCCGGTGTGACCACGTCAAGGCCCGCGGAGAATATTTGTCTTTCTTTAAGCGCAATGTACAAAGCCTCTTGATCCACAAGGCCTGCCGAAAACATTACTTTGAAAATACTCGAATAATCTGCATAATGTTTTTTTTTAAAAGTCAATATATGTACTGTAAAAAAACACAAAGGCATTGCTTATATAGAAATTGCATGTCCAATGTCCATGTAGTGCCACCCCAGTGTTTGCGGGGAGCTCGGTTTGCGAAATTGTTGACGAGTGAGACTATTTAAGACAAGTAGTCCAACCTGCCTAGGTCCCAATTAGAGAGAGGTCACTCGACGGATCCAACTCGGTTGAGCAGAGTTCGGCAAGCTACGCAGCGTTTTTGCTTCCAGAATACCACAGTCTAAAGGCAAAAGTCTTTGACCAATGCATGATGTCATTGACGACCTACGGCGCCGAGACATGCTCTTTAACCATGGGCTTCCTTTCTTTAACTTGATAGAGTGATTAAAGAGCAAGGTTTGTATGTATAATACACTGCACCCGCGCGAAACCGGGCGGGTCGCTAGTATTTTCTATTCAGAGAAGATATATATTCGGCAGAGGAAGTTTACAGGCTGAAATGATTATGAGAGACTGCACATATTTAAATGTTCTCTTTTATTCCGTGCGCGTTTTCCCGTAAATCATGCACCAGGGTGACGCAACTTTGCAGGGAAAGTTATGATTAAATTTGAAAATACCATACAAGGGCGTTTATTTCGTAATGACGATTGTAATTTATAAAGTTCCCAAATTAACTATTCTCCTGTTAAGTACATACGTATTTAGGTAAATATTCCCACCGTATTTTTACAACGATGATATGACTTGTTCGGATAACTGACCTCCCCTCCCGATGTTGACGAGCACAGCGTTACTCTTCATAAGTTTGAGAGTGTTGGCATTGATGAGATGCTTGCTTTCCTTAGTCAGTGGGCAGCAGAGAAGGACGTAATCACTCTCCTTCAATAGCTGTTCCAGTGGAACACGCTCCACCCCAAGAGCTTGCGCTAAAGTCAGAGGAATGTTTTTATTGTAAGACTCCTGTTGTATTAAAGTTCGTGGAAAACTTGATGTAATCGAACCCACGTCCCACGTCTTACATGCTTAAGTAGTTTACAGTTCTCGGCGACAAATATTGCACGACGACCTTTGGAAAGGGACGATTCGCTAATTACGGCTTCGTATAGTGTCATCTCTATCGCATAATTGTATAAGGACTGACGAACGTAACGTTCGTAGTTTATGACAAAGATAACGCTCCAAGAGCATTATTTATTGCAGAGCCTATACTAAACGTACTATATAAAAATTATACTATATAATACTAAGTATACTTTGTGTTACTGCACTAATGGGCAGCCTAGTCCGGCGGAGTACCACTACCTCACAGAGAACCGGCGTGAAGTATAAGTGTTATACTTCTGCATTTCGTGTGGTGAGCGAGATAATCGGGGCCCACTTTATTAAAAGGTGACAACGCATCTGCATACGAACGTGTTGCGAATGTTTACGGGTGGCTATTATCGCTTAACATCATGTGGACCGCCAGCTAGTTTGCCACATAAAAACCCGGCCAAGTGCGAGTCGGACTCGCGCACGAAGGGTTCCGTACCATCATCAATTCATCCGTTCATCTATAAAAACGGAAAAAAATCATGTCTGTCCTATGGGAGCCCCACTTAAATATTTTTTATTCTGTTTTTCAGTTGTTGTTTGTTTATTTATTGTTATAGCGACAATAGAAATATCTGTGAAAATTTCAACTGTAACCATCACCGTTCATGACAAACAGTCTGGTGACGGACGGACAGACAGACAGCGGAGTCTCAGTTATAGGGTCTTGTTTTACCCTTTGTGTACGAAACCCTAAAACTACTACAAATTAAACTATCGTACCCCCTTAAGTTGAAAAGTAAGGTAACCTTCGGGCTTGTCGCTCCGTCCGCTGTATAAGAACCTGGCGACGTCGAAGCCCTTCAGTCTGCGCACCACCGCTTGCCCCACTCCTCCCAACCCCACCACGCCGACGGTACTCCCTTCTATGTCCTGCCCCAGCGTCCACTGCACGCCGTATTTCCAATCGCCTCTTAGAATTGAAAATAGTGAACATTTTTAATGTTTATTCATTCTATTCACAAAAAGATCGACTTAACCAAAAACTTCATCTGATTGTAAGCGAGGATCATCGCCCATTCATCACGAGATTACAGCAGAATTAAAAATATTATAAAATATTGATTTCTTGTATTTAAGCGAATAAATGCCATACATGGTTAAATGAAACTATTTTACTGATTCTAGTTTAATTGTCGTTTGATTTTTTACGTAAGTTAAATATAAGAGTTTATGGTCTCAGTACAACGAACAGTCGTAAGTGACGTTGGTAAACTATTGGCTTAGGCGCCGAGGGTCGTCTGATCGATTCTCACTCGGGGCAAGTAAATGTGTGAACCACAGACAATTGTTCCGGATCTGGCCAGGTAGGCGGGAGGCGACAGGTCTATCGCAATATATCAAAGTCCTCAATACTAGTGTTAAAATAAAGCCTTATTGGATAAAGCCCGTAAAAGGATAATGTCCACTTCTGAATGCCATTGCGCATAATACCTCACGATCTCATCGACGCCCTCTTTGAATCTCCTGGCAGCCGCTATCATGAGTCCAACTGTAATGTCTGCCACGCTGTTGTCAAGCACGTTGGGTGTGCTGCCGATGGGTATTCCCCGACTAAAAACCTCGTCCAAATCGATGTGGTCGGTTCCGGACGACATTGTGGATACCGCCTTCAGACGAGGACCTGCAAACCCATAGCTTCCAGATTTAAACAACATTGAGAAAAGAGAGGGTCTTATAAAGAAGAAAACATTTTAGGAATTAATAGAGGAAAGAAGACTGGAAATGCAAATAAGACGAGTGTGTATTATAAAAATATGAAAAGTGTAGGAAAGAGATAATGGAAGTTAAGAAAAAAAAAACAACGGGGAAAGGTAAAGTCCACGATCTGATTTATAAATTTTTGTCGAGTGGTTCTCCAAAAACTAATGTGTTGAGGTAATACTTTAACCTTAGGTGAACCGCTATCAAACTAATCATTCTCTATCGTTTCAAATACATTTTTTTCTATCGTTTAAACTACATTTAGATAAATCTTTAAACAACGCCAATATTTTGGCTCTGATTGCTTACGTGATTTAAGTGTCACCTAATTCTATCAATTTGAATTACCCGCTAGATCCAGGATTTCTCCTGTAAGTTGGTGTTTTGTGTTCCATATAACAGCGTCACAATCTGTTATGGCTTTCTTAATCGCTGGCAAGCTCTCCGGTTCGTAATCTAAATAAGGTAAGACAACAGGTTCCGTTCTGAAAACGTTATAAATAATAAATTTATTATTAACTCATGGTACTTTGTTAATGAAATTGTAAATTGATCAGTCAGAGCGACAGAGTAATTCAGTACCATTTAACTATCAGAGGAGTTGTATTATTAATGAATATAATATAACATGAAATTCGTAACTTTTTATTAACGTAAAGTTTTTTTCCACTTTTTCGTAATAAATGACACATTAGTCCCTTAATGCCCGATTTCACCAACGACCCCCAAAAAATCACATAGATAGCGGATCCCTAAGCTAAAGAGTTCCCTAAAGTATCCCATAACTAAATTTACTTTTCACCAACGTAACAGGCCCCTGACTATTGGACCGCTCCATAAGTGACACATATTATTGTGAGGCCATTATACGTCCTCCTAAATTTAGCGGACCGTTTAGTCAATAATTGACCGCTAAATATTGGTGAAACGGAAATGGTCCCCTACCGGACCACTAAGTTTGCTAAAGGACCCTTTAAATCTTAGGGGTCGTTTGTGAAATCGAGCATTAGTCTTTGATTACTCAATATGTTAGTGAAAAATTACTAATTGTCACATCAACGGCCGTTTGTGATAAAATATGATGTAACGCAATTGCAAAATACTAGCTCTTCTTGTTACTAGGTCTTTTTGTTTTTCACTCTGACAAATTTTTACACTGAAACAAAACTTTTGCTGAAAAGTCAATTCTTTAATACTTAAAATTGTTGCATTTGTTTAAGTACCTTTACGATTTATACTTACTTCTTTTTCAAAATTTCTAAACCAATGGCTGGATACGATTTATTCACTACCAGAACTCGTTTAAGCGCCATCTCTTGGTTGACACGCCAATTTTTCTCCTACCGTGATGATGTCGTTTAGGTTTAACACGTCCTAAAAAAAAATTACGAATGTCAAGGTGTGTTCAATTCAATGTATAAATGGGACAACATTACGATTATTATCCCACCTTTAGCCTGATACTTACGATTCGACACAGAATTCTTGCCAGAATTTTCTTGCAATTATGTAAATATTAGTATTAATTTTCACAAATTGATTAAACCACCAGAAGTTGTAATTGGAACACGTGCTTCTTGATAGAGGAATGTCAATAGACTGTGTTAGTATCATTTAGAAAAGTTTTAAGTACTTATGTTGAGAGCGTAATACAAAGATGTATTGACAGATAAGATAATAATCAAATCGTTTAAACAATATAGAACTGTGCAAAATGATGCAGTACGTAAATATGTTAGACAATTTTTTTATATAATTTATGTTTTATGGATGAATACATGAAAATTATCTTACACAATTTACGTATGTAGTGTAGATTACAGGGTATAATCGGCACTGTTTTACGAAAGTGTACATAGGTGTTTCTATATTGTCGCCGAAAAATTTAAATTTTCCGGTAGTTTTGTTAGTATATTTTCATATATAATAAAAAAATTATAGTAGAAAGCACCGTAGTAAGTATTTCGAAATTCATTCTGCTCGTTTCTTGCATATTTTGTTTTATTTATCAATTATAACATTTCTATTTCTTTTCGAACATTATAGGTATTTAAGCTTATTTTTTTTGTAAAGTAAGTATTTATGTATTTGGCATTTTGAATAGAGTTTTGAGTTTTGAATTTGAGTTTGTTTTAATTTTATTTCTAAAAACATTCTCCAAAAAGTTGTTTGTATTGAAATATTTTATTTGTAATTACTTAGGAAATTGAAAGAAAGGGTTTAATTAGCAGATTGTAGGTTGTAGTTAGAAGACTCACTGATAGCAACTCATCTATTTTTATGATAGCGCCATCTAGCGTTGAATAGTTAATATTAATAAACACTAGAATAATATTAGAAACATCTAGTTTCCTTTGTTGAATAGATGTCGCATGCGTTAATTTCCGTATAACATTTGAAACTATAATATTACGTATAGGCAAATAGTGTGATGCTGTGTTTTACTCTACTTTGGCTGATGTTTTACTTTCAGTCCATAGATTATTAAGCCAGCATCAAACACAGAACTCGTGCGTTAGCCAGATACCACCAGCTTCATACGACCCTCGGCGTTATGTGCTTATGCGTGTGTTATCTATGGGGAGGAATTTTACCTAAGGGCCATCGAGGTGCGGTACAAAACGTGATACCGATGACCGTTGACTGTATAAATCCTGGAACGCGGGAGTATCATGCAAACACGTAATGTTGTGTTTGCCGGTCTCGCAGGCGAGGATGAATTATTTTCTTGTATACAAATGTGCGGGAAGCGAAAGATGCAGGTGGCTCAGGATCGTGCTTCGTGGCAGTATGGGGAGGAGGCCCGTTTTATGTGAGATGATGGCAAGTGAGCTGTCGGTTCACCTGCAACACTCGTATTGCAGATGCGTTGCCACCTTTTAATAAATTGGGCACGGCTACCTCACCAGACGAAACCCGGAAATATAACAACTCCACATCCCCGGATGGATCTGTCAATTCGTGCAACAACAAAACTGCTGCTTGGCTCTACCACAGAAAGTCATTCGCCCTAGCTTCTTGTTCTGGTGAGCTGTAGTATTTCGCGTTTAACGTCGATTCGCCATGTGTGAACCAGTCACTTTGGACGCGACTAGTAATTTTTTTGACCAAATAGAAGAGATCGAAATAGTCAGCGAACAGCGGGAGTGTTTTATTATTATGAACTCCGTGTGTTTCGATATATCTAACATTTTTGTATACAATAAACGAAATCGGTAGATACTTGACGTGCATTTCATCAAATATCTGAATAAAACTACTGTGAAGTATTTAAAATTTGGATAATAGTTTTGTTTCCAACGTGTATGTAATGTTCACACAGATCCAAGAAATTATTATTCATTCAAAATATTCTTACGATAAATATTTGCACGTCGTTGAAGCATATTATTTAACAGCTTTTTGCACAAAAGTCTACAATGGCGGACTCGACAACATTAGATGATCTCTACCAATGAAATAAGATATAAGTATAGAAACTTAGGAGTCTATAACGTGACCATGAACGCTGTACAGGGTTCGAAACGTTGGGAATTAAAACTAAAAATAAACTTGATAAATCCGTAAAAATAGTATGCCAACATTACAGTGTTCAACGTAAATTTTACAAACATAAATTTCTCAAACTATATCGTCGAAGCACCTGTTACTTTTGGGTCAGTTATGTTTACATCATACAAATTATTAGTTATGTGTCGAATCAAGGCCTGCGACTCCGAGCCAATTAATGGGCAACCATTAAGAAAACGTTGCAGTCAAATAAACAACTTGGACCGATGAGAAATATTACATTAGAAGTTTCATAATAGATATATGGTCTTGAAATGTGCCGGATTAGAGGCAGAAGGGGTGAATAAATCATAAGGTAATTTTATTTGGTAAATTTATAGGTCAATAAACCGGACAGTGTTGTTTTCAATTATAAAGATAACTGGATTAACACGTATATCCCTTCGGATGCAGGCATTGATTAGATAAACAGTTTTGTTTTATTTTAAATAAAACTATTAACATATGATTGACTGAACGATGAAAAGTCCTTTCAATCAATTCCCTAACAGATACCGTACAGTATAGTTAGTTCTGTCATCGCACGCAGAGGAACACTTATTTCGTGTATTATTTTGTGGTTATGATATATGGCCGGTTGGATGATAAAATAATCTTATTGTGCTAATTGTCCTCTCTTGTTAACTTTTAACCGAGCCATTTTTTAAATATCTAAACACGGCCTTTTTAATTTCAAGAGGACAGTCAAATTTCTTGCTCAATTGTACTAGATGGTAAATGGAGATCGCCGCCCATGGATACAACACCACATCCCTATCTAAAACCAATAACTTCCATCATATTAAGGGAATTGTTCATACCATCATAGACGATGAGGATTCTTGTCGTTTGTGAAAATGTTGGAATCTCAATTTTAAATTGGGTACTACGCAGGCTCCTTGATTTTTTCCTATTAGCGTGGTTAATGATAACTACGCTGTCTATTTATGCGTAGTTTATTAATTATCAGTTTTGACTAATGGTAGGTCAGATAAGTCTGCAATTTCACACTGGCGTATCGTTATCTCAGATAATCTTTTCCTGTGCTGGACAATTCGTAGTTCGGAATTCGAAACGGCGTTATCGATTCATCTACACTAATTGTTTTACGTTACGATAGTGAAAATAATAATTATATTATTACCAAGTACCTTTTATGAGTCATACAACAACACCGTCTTTTGATAGCAACATTTATTAGTCCGGAGCAGCAAGGCAGAAGATTTAAAGTTGAATGAACGGAGATTGGGCAAGTAATCACCAGAAACGCTGAATATAAACACTACTAGTTTAAGGCTGTCACCTGTCAGGTCAGGGTGCGTCCCCGGACGAGCTGGTCCATTCATGGAACCGGAGAAACTGTTTTTGCTATAAGTACTCAGACCCTGAGCCGTGATAGCTCAGTGTCCGGGCGCTCGCCTTTAATTCAAAATACTCGAGCAGCCTGAGTTCGATCCCCGGTGCCGGCACCAATGAAATTTTTAACTTTAAGTGCTGTCTTATCACGTGCTCCGCGGTGAAGGAAAACATCGTGAGGAAACCTGCATATTTTCGAAATAATAACAATTTCGAAGATATGTGAAGTCCGACAATCCGCAGTGGGGCCGCGTGGTGGACTATGCCCTGATACCCTCTATATAGAGGAGGCCTATGCCCAGCAGTGGGACATGTATAGGCTGTTACTTTACTTTTACTCAGACCCATTTCATTCCACGGAACACTTATGACCATATAGGATGGTTATGATAAGTGATATAAGTTACGTAGTTAGATATAACTTATAACGTGATTTAAATATGTTATGATTTCAACTACGACATCCTCTTCAAAATAATTCAGTTCATAGCAAAGTAGAAAAATATATTGTTACCTACATATTTAATATTTATATTCAAGTTTAATTCAGTCTACTCGTAAGTTCAAAACTTGGTGTTGATTTGTTCATTGACAAAATTGTTGATGCAATTTTAAATGCCGATTAAATTGATATTTTACAATAAATTTCTCCCTATACATATCGATAATGGGCAATTATTAAATATGTAATAACATCCCTGGCCATTTACTACGTTCTCTGCGTTTAAGTTAACGTGGGGAAATCTGTCTAAGAAACAATGAAAGTGTAATTCGAAGTTTAATTGAAGCCTGTCATAAGTGGCTGTCTATGGGAATAGATTGGGCATAATACATGCTGTATGTACATGTACTTATAGGCAGAATCTTCATCAACGGGTTTGTTATTATTCTATTTAATTATATTCTCTATCTCATATTAATCATCAACCATATTTAATGTGTCGTATCCCTATCAAATGAAGTAAAAAAAAAATAATAAAATCAGTGTCATAAAGAAAATAAATCCGAAAAACATGCGCGCCTTTTTATAAGTTTCACATTTTATATAAATCAAAATGTCTCAGCGTTTATTTCGCTTATTGTAAAAACAACAAAGATCGGTAACTCGGCGCAGCCGTTGCAGTAACCATATGGATTTTATACAAAGGAAAGTAAACAAACTAACATCTGGCAACAGGCGGAATCACAACTACCGTGGCCCCTACCATTGGCCGTTTAAATGCTAATATGCTAATATCTCAAACAATACAATCTTCTGTATGGGTGACAAACGGGGTCATTGCCAACATAAAGAATGTCGCCCGGTTACTTCACGTACCTAAGGAACTCAAAGGAATATGATATAACAAAAGCTCGAGCTTTTATATATATAAACATAATGAATTGCCAAATTATGGGCGTCTTAACA